ATCTGCTGTGGGCAAACTGGCTGGTGCGGCCACAGGAGAGCCCTCACTACCAACCAGAGCCCCCACTGACCACCAGGGTAAGGTGACCAGTTTTTTAAAATCCAGGAACATTTTTAAGGCCTTGTCGGTGGATCCAGGCATAAGGGAGTATTAAAAAACAAAAAGATTTTTTTTGGTTCCTGGGGACATGTAGGGCTCATTCACACTGGAATCGGCCGGCACTTACAGCTCCGTGCTGTGTGCACGGCCGTATCGGGCAGCTCCTGGGAAGGACAGGTGCTGCATGTGATTAGTACACAGCCCACATTCTTCTCTATGGGACTACGCGGCCGTACGCCGCCCTGCGCTCACCCGTCCTGTACATCGGTGCGGGTGAGCGTGCCCGTCTGCTGACAGGATGGATCCTGTCTGCATCTGAGCAAGGAAACATGCACCCGTACTTACGTGCTGGGCGGGTGAGCGTAGGGGGGTGTACGGCTGCATACACCCATAGAGAAAAGGAGGCTGGGCTTGTCTGGATCCAGAGATCTACTTAATTTTCTAGCAGTGCCCCTCCCGAGAATAGACTCTGGATCCGCCCCTGACAGATACTAGTATTGGTGCATTCCTAAATTTTACGGCTGCGGGACACCACAACTTGGCAACTGTTACCAAGGGGTCCCGGCCTTAGAAAAGTTGAGAACCACTGCCCTAGAGAAAACACGAGCGGGTAATCCTTGCAGGGTGGGGATAGCCCCACTGCAAGAGTTAACTTTTTACATTCCTGGAGTTCCTCTTTGCACCGCAGAGATGTGATCCCGCCTACGATACTAAAAATAGATTTTGGGTTTTTAAAAAAACACTTTAAAGAGGAACTAGACCCACCAATTTGTGTCCCAAAACAGCTTCTTTTAGGGATGCCAGCTGTGAGGTTGTCAGTGTGCTTGTTTCAGCTCTCGATCAAACTTTCAAACCTTCAAATGGCTGGTGTCCTAGCTGATAACATGTGCAGCACCATGCAATCCAAATAGAGGCCGAGATGGCTTTTTTTGGCTGTGAGGGATAGAAGGGTGTAGTTCCACTTTAAACAGTATGTAACCCTAACAATAAACGTATTGCACCACCAGCTAGTCAAGGGATAATGTTGTGGCATGTGGGTAATGGTGCTGGTACTGTAAGAGTTCCAATATCTTTTTTTTTTCCCCGTGTAACTTTTTTTTCCCCAACAGGCAGCCTTGACAATTTCCACCTGGACTGTGCTAACGTTCCTGGCTTTCGTAATTTCTCTCGGCAGCTACTTTCTGATCACATACTTAATAACCTTTCCACCTGCTTACCTGTTTAGCATGTCTCAGTTCTATTTTCTAGGTATGTTATGCTAAATGATAATAATTTCTTATGCCATCTCTTTGGGCTGGCTGCTCATTTGACACTATGGAGTGTTCTAGAATACGTTTGCAGGGCCGTTCACGCTGCGAACGTCTGACTTTTACATTCACACTGCAATATAGCTGCCTCTGCCACTAGATGGAGCCGAGGAGCATAGGGATTTATGCTTCTCGGCTCCATCTAGTGGCCATAATGTAGTGCAAATATAAAAGTCAGATGTTCACAGAGTGAACAGCTCTGCAAATGTTTAATATATACACCACTCTCTATCATTTGCTTGTTAAAAAATATACATCGCTGTTAATTTGCATGTAAACACCAAATCTATTTGGGATCACGTCTCACTGTATACAGTTTGTTAAGCAAATATTTTTTTAGTGAATCATTTGCAAAGTTTCTTGACTGGAGATCCTGCCTACTAGGAGATACCCTTGATTGCTTTGTATGAGCTTAGCATCTTTTGCTTGAGAGTCTGAGGTCATCTGAAGTCTGACACTCACTGCGTTGTCCACTGCCAGACCTCATACACTGTCTCCCAATGCCTTATTGTGCATGGCAGAATAACTGTGTCATATCAGAGCTCTGTAGCAGAATTTAGAGGACTACAGTTGTCACGGATGCCGGCACAGGTGTTCCCACACCATGTGCAGGTACCCACACAGGCAGACCCAACATGTATGACCACACCAGACAAGGAAAATTGAGATATATATATACAGTGGGGCAAAAAAGTATTTAGTCAGCCACCAATTGTGCAAGTTCTCCCACTTAAAAAGATGAGAGAATTTATAAGGAGCAAAACATAGCATAACCCACAAATAAGTAATCGCAACCAAAAACTAGGAAAAAACCACAGGGTATAACAGGGCATGACAACCTGGGGAGCAGGTAACAGGACTCAGGAACATAAGCAGGTAACAGGACTCAAGACTAGGGACTCAGGATTCACAGGAAACAATGCCAGTATACTGAGCCATCGTCCTGACTGCAGGGAGGGTTTAAATAGCCATCACCTGGTGCTTTCTGGGAGGGTAAGTGCTGGCCGCTGGGAGACACCCGCAGGTGAGCACTGGAGTTGCAGTTTCTAGCACCACTCAGTGGTGGTCTGGTACCTAACAGCTCCTAGCTGCCTGGAGACACCTGCTGGTGAGCACAGGAACTTCAGGGCTTAGCTCCAGCGCCACCTGGAGGCGCTCTGGATCCTAACAGTACAGGGCTTAATAGCCACTATTAACTAGACATGTAAGCCGGCAAAAAATTTGTTTACTTTCGTTTGGTTTCGGATGTTTCATTATTACATTTTTGGGGATTCAGGTCTGAAAGTTCATTCATTGTGGTGTTCAGATGAATCCGAATTCCGTTAATTTTGGACGAGTTAAATGATCATTACCAACTAAAATTTGTTGCAGAAAAGTGACATGTTTACTTTATGTATTTTTAATTTCTGACAGCATGGGGTTCCCCCCTCCCCTTACCCAATTAATTTCA